GCTGGAGAGATTCGCACACAGCCCCGGGCAGGTCGGGCGCAGTGGGGGTGCTGCCTGGTGGCCCTGGCAGGAGTGGGGAGGGAAAGCCGCCTGCGGGAGGTTTAGGAAGGAAAGGAGGGAGCAGAGAAAGGGGTGAGCGTTGCTGGGCAGCTGAGCCCGGGAAGGGGTGTGCGGGGCAATTGGTAAAACCTGAATTGGGGGAGAGAAACATCAATAATGAGTGTCATTGATCACGCCCCGTACTGGGGATTGAACCCACAACCCCGGGCATGTGCCCTGACCGGGAATTGAACTTCGATCTCCTGGATCCTAGGTCGATGCTGAACCACTGACTCTGTTGCATGGTGTAGAATCTCAGGTGGCCATTAACGCTTGTTATTTAGGTGTTTAAATGTAGCAAAATGTTTGCAGCATACTAGAGATTTTTATAAAATGCAATTTATATACAGTATCTCCTGTTTTTATAACAATATGTTTCTCTCCCATTTCCCCCAGGGGAGAGCGTGAACACAGTCCCCCACTATCAGGAATCATGCAGTCAAGTTTCCCACATTTGGGGAAATTGCAGGGGTCAGCAATCCGGACTGCAGTGGATAAAAGCCTCTCCCTGGGAAAACCACCTTCGTGGTCATGGTACCTCCCCCGCCAGGTAAGTATGCTTTTTCTTTTTAAAATTAATTATTTTTCAGTTACAGTTGACACCCAATAGTATTTTATACTAGTTTTAGGTGTTTCGGTGGGATTCTTAATATGCTAGTGGCCTTTGACTGTTGAGTCGCGGCTACCATCATTTTGTAGGAATATTCTTACTTTTTCCTGAAAAAGCAAGGAATTCGGTGCCCTCACCAACAGCATATGTTTCTAACAAAACCTAGAAGCGCAGATCCAAATATTGATAGTGGTTATCTCTGGATAATTTAAATTTGGGGTTTTTTAAAAAAGATTTTATTTCACCTCTCTGCCTTTTATTTATTTATTTTTAATTTTCTAATCCCCACCAAGGACATGCTTAGAGAGGAAGGCAGAGAGAGAGAGAGCAAGACGCAAGAGAAACATTGATGTGAAAGAGAAACATTGATTGGCTACCCTCTATATGCACCCCAACCAGGGATTGAATCCAAAACCCAGTATGTGCCCTGACCAGGAATCGACCCGGACACCGTTTGGTACATGGGACCATGCTCCAACCAGCTGAGCCACTCTGGCCTCTGGCCAGGCTGGGCAATTTCAGTTTTATTATCTCTCTCTGTAGTGTTCAAGTTGTATGTGGCTTATATGTGAAAGGAAAGGAGCGAGTGAATGAACAAACAAGCAGACAAGTGCTTAGCTCTGCTGGACGGCATGTTGTCTGTATATCATGGGTGAGCAAGGCAGTGGGGGAGACATTTCCAGGGTGGAAGTCTTGAGCCACGTGTGTGCCAGAGGTGGAGGAAGGAAGGCCACCTGGTCTCTGCCCCTCACGCACCCTCCCTCCACCTGGGACGCTCCTCCCTGTCGTCCTGATCTTCAGGCCTCCTTGGAAGCGTTACTTCCTCAAAGGGCCAGATCCCAGGCCCCTGGCGTTGGCTCTCAGGGGACTGAGTTTCTCTCCTCCTGAGTGTTCCTCAAAATTGTAGCTAAGTAACTAACGCGGTAGTAATGCCTGTTTTTGCCCCCGTGGGTCAGCTCCACTAACATGGGGACCATAGTGGGTCCAGAGCCCACACAGTCAAGACTCGCTGAATGAACGGCTAGCCATCAGGAAGAGCCCCTCGTAAATCTCAACAGGGCCTTGCAGGAAGCCCCGTGTCTCCTACCTCCGCTTCTCACCGCAGAGTTCAGTGCGCTCAGAGAACGTCCGGCTGCATTCAAGGAGGCTCCTGCAAAGGGTCAGGAAAGGAGGCAATCCCAGATTTACCTTCAGCCTGGCCTTTTTTATGAGTTTTGTTCTTTTTTTCAATTACAGTTGACATTTAATATTGTTTTAGTAGATATTTATGTGGCTTACAAAGTAATCCCCCCATAAATTTAATACCTGCCTGGCACCATACATAGTTATTACAGTATTATTGACTGTATTTCCTAGACGATATCCTAGTTTTAAAACCCTGGTGACAACTTTTTTATGAACATTCAACTCTGTTTAGTAAATGACTCCATTTTTTTTATTAATATTCTTTATTTTACTGATTTTTAGAGACAGAGAAATGTCGATTTGTTGTTGCCCTTCCTGATGTGTCATTGGTTGCTTCTTGTTTGTCTCTTACTGGGGACTGAACCCGCAATCTTAGCAAATCGGGATGGCTCTCTAACCAACTGAGCCACACCGGCCAGGACAGATTCACATAGTTTCAGAAGAGCCTGGCTGCAGTGTGGAGAGTGGGTTGTGACAAAGGAGATTCCCATAGCCCAGGACCGCCCCACGAATTCAGGGTCTCGAAGGTGGGTTCTGGAATTTCCCTGGACATCTTTCTCTGCTCTGCAGTTTAAGATCCACTTAAGAAGAATTCTAGAACTATTTAGAGTAAAAGCAGCATCATTGAAACAAGAGCCTCTGAGAAGGGGAAATCCACCCGGCGGTCGTGGCTCAGCGGTGAGCTTTGACCTATGAACCAGGAGATCACAGTTCCATTCCCGGTCAGGGCATATGCCCGGTTTGTGGGCTCCATCCCCAGTAGGGGGCGTGCAGGAGGCGGCTGATCAGTGACTCTCATCATTGAGGTTTCTATCTCCCTCCCTCTCCCTTTCCCTTCCTCTTTCTCTCTCTAAAATCAATACAAAAATATTTTTTAAAATAAAAGAATTTAAAATAAATAAATAAAAAGAAGGGGAAATCTCACGCAGTTCTGGGCAGTAGGCAGTATTACCTCCAAGTCACTCAGCAGGCTTCCCAGCTCAGCCCTACCAGCCGTTCATTCATCCAGCGAATGATTTCCTGCACCTCCCGTGGGTCAGACACCGTGCTCCGGAGCAGGTGACACCACCAGGCAGTCCTGCTTTCTTGGAATTCACACTCCGAGCATTGATACTGTCCACATAATTACAGGGTGGAACGTGCTTTGAAGACCCTCGGTCCTCATGGTGAGGACTTGGTCACCACTGGGGAGGTGGAGAGTGGGGTGGAGAGGAAATGGTGTTAACAGGCCCCACCTCAGGCCCCTCACAGGAGAGAGCACAAATAACTGTTTTATTCAGCAAGTGTTCATCCAATGCCTACTGTGACCCAAGGACTGGAAGGAAAACACGGCCAGGGAAGGGAGCACTCCAGGAAAAGGTAGCATCTGAGAGGTGAAGCCTTCAGTCCCTCCAGGCCCCAAGATTCCCTGCCTACCCCGTCCTCTCAAAGCCCTGCTGCTGTCTCCTCCGCCCAGCTCAGGCCCCAGCCCATCCCCCCACCCGGAAAGGCCCAGCTAGAGGGTGGACTGAAGACAAAGGAGCCTAATAAACTCTTTAAAACAGCTTTGCCAGAGCTGGAGCTAGAGAGCAGGAAGGAAGGGAAGGACAATGGGATGAAACCCCCGCCCCTTTCCCAGCTGGAGCCCAGGAAGAGAAACCCTTCTGCACTCAAAGGCCTGGCTATAGGATGAACCCCAGACCTGAGCAGCCATCCGTCCACCTGGGATCAAGCAAGGACGGTTTTTCTTAGGACCTGCTATGCTAGGTGTGAGCCCCACGCTGGGCTGGTTTATCAGAACGTCATGGAGGGGAGTTCGGCATCTGTCAGTAGGGTTTCAAATTTTGGCTCTTCTGTGCAGTTGCTGTGTGACCTCGTGTCCTTCCTGACCCTCTCTGTGCTTCAGTTTCCTCTGCCTGGAACACCTGTCTCCAGCTCTGCAATGCATTGGCTCCTTTTTATTCCCTAAGTCTGTGGGGCTCATCTTCCCGTAGAACAGACGGTCGCAGGTTCGGTTTCCTGTTGGGGCACATGCCTAGGTTGCAGGTTTGATCCCTGGTCAAGAAAGGAAAAGCGTCCTTCCCCGTTGCAACCCCGGTTGGCTGCCTTCTCCACGTGGTGTTACACATTCGCTGTCTGTCTCCTGCTTTGCAGTGTGTGTGCCCCTCTGCCCCTGGCCCGGACTCTTGTCTCCTCGGCCTCCAGGGTACCCACCGTGAAGGAACACACAGAGCGTGGGGTGAGAACGGTACCTGCCACACCTGGTCATTGTGAAGATGAAGTGCATCTGAACAGGAGCCAGGATTAAAGCACCGTCCTGCACAAGGTCTTCGGGGCTGGTGGGAGCCTACGGACGGACAGTGGAGGCGGAGGGTTAGCAAGAGGGTGTCCACGATCCCAAGACCCAGGCGCTGCCGCCCCCATCACGGGTACCGAGGCTCGGAAAGGAAGACCGATGCGCCGCACCGCTGGGTATGTAGCTTCGTTGTTGTTTTTAGGAAGCAAATAAGCAAATCAGAATTTACTCAAGTGCCCTTCAGTCAGTTACCTTATAGGGTTACAATGTATTTTATTTTGTTTTAAACCCGTGTGCATTTTCTTTATGTTTTCTATTGATGTTTTTAGAGAGAGAGGAAGGGAGAGGGAGAGAGAGAAAGAAACATCAATGATGAGAGAGCCATTGATCGGCTGCCTCCTGCACGCCCCCTACTGGGGATCAAGCCCACAACCCGGAATCAAACCATGACCTCCTGGTTCATAGGTCGATGCTCAACCACTGAGCCAAGCCAGCTGGGCCTCTTTTTAATGTTTATTGATTGATTTAGAAAGAGAGGAAGGAAGAGAGAGAAGGAGACAGACATTGATTTGCTGTTCTACCCACGCATGCATCAGTGGCTGATTCCTGTGCGTGCCTGCACTGGGGACTGAACCCGCAACTTCAGCACATCGGGACAATGCTCTAAGCAACTGAGCTACCTTGCCAGGACTATCATACCTTTTCTATTTTTAGACACACAAGTACTTAACATTGTGTTACTATTGCCTCCAGTATTCAATATAGCAACATGCTGTAAGGCTTGTACACAAGCCCAGGAGCAACAGGCTAACCCGTGGAGGGCAGGCCACCCAGGTCTGTGTAGGTTCCCTCAGTGATGTTCACACAACAAGGTCGCCTCTTGACACACTTCTCAGAACACATCCGGTCGCTAAGGGGCACGACTATAAATTACTGTGCTGGACTGACCTCTTCCAGTCTATAAAACGTGTCATGAATATGACTTTCGTTCCCGTTCATTCGGAGGAATAAACCTGTAATAATGCCCAGTAAAATTCCTGAAACTGAAGACAAATGAAAGAAGCTAAGTTCCACCACCGATGAAGGTGAAGATAAAGTGTCGGACATAAAAGATGACATGTATGGTTTCATTCATATAAAATGTCAGAAGCACCTGGCCGGCGTGGCTCAGCAGCTGAGCGTTGACCTATGATCCAAGAGATCGAGGTTCGATTCCCTGTCAGGCCACATGCCAGGGTTGCGGCTCGATCCCCAGCAGGGGGCGTGTAGGAGGCAGACGGTCAGTGACTCTCTCATCATTGATGTTTCTATCCCTTCCTCTCCCTTCCTTTCTCTAAAATCAATAAAAACATTAAAAAAAAAAAAAAAGATGATGCTTAGTGAATGCCTCTCATACAGCTAATGCTCAATAAACGGAGCTGTAGCTGTCCTGCAGTGCACACGGATAACTAAGCCAGACCAAGCTTTGACTGTTTTGGAAACTTCTGATTCCTGGAGGGAGCCTGGCCTCAGGGTTGCAGAACATCCTGAGCCCATCGACTTTTGGGTGGGGCGGAGGGAGACCATTTGTTGCCTCCACCTTGCCTGCTGCCGGTTCTGGAATGGAGCAGAGTCACACAGTTGCCTGGTGACACCTCTGGGAATCCAGGAAGTTAAAATTTTGGAAGCTTTGGAGGAAAGGAAAGGTGCAGCCTGGTGTTTTGAATGTTAAGCCTTGTGCTCAGTGAGTCTGTACCTAGATCTAAATACTGGAACTCAGGTGATTTTAAGAACTGTAGACCTGGCCAGATAGCTCAGTTGGTTGGAGCGCTGCCCTGATACGCCAACACTGTGGCTTCAACCCCAGGTCAGGGCACATGCAAGAATCAACCCATGATGTGTAAATGGGTGGAACAATAAATCCATGTCTCCCTCTTTCTCCTTTTCTCTCTCTCAAATCAATAAAAAAAAATTTAATATATTTTATTGATTTCAGAGAGAGGTAGAGGGGGAGAGAGAAACATCGATGATGAGAGAGATTCACTGATCAGCTGCCTCCTGCACACCCCCTGCTGGGGATCGAGCCTGCAACCCAGGCATGTGCCCTGACCGGGAATCGAACCTCGATCTCCAAGATCCTAGGTCAATGCTCCACCCCTGAGCCATGCCGGCCGAGCAATAAAAATTTTTTTTTTAAATGCAATATATTCATAAGGTTTAAAATTCAAAATGTGCAGCAGGGTAAAGAGTGAAACATGTCCCTGTATCCTGTCCTCTCTTTTCTCATCAGTCCCCTCCCCAGAGATGGCGGAGTTATCACCTTCATGGGAGTCCTCCTATTAAGTCCTTGTGTTCTAGGAACACAGGGAAATAAGTGAAAGTGTTTTTTTTTTTTTCTATCCCCCTTTTATACAAATGGTAACATGCTAACTACTTGATTTAGGACTGTTTTCACCATAGCTCTGGTTCCCTACTTGTTTTCTTGGTTGCAGAGAATTCCAGAAGCCTAAAGAAGTTAGGTTGTTCCCAGTCTTTTGCTACAAATTGCTTCATACAGGTGTCATCTCTCAGCAGAGCAATGAATCTGTAGGATGAATTCCTAGAAGGGGAATTTCTGGGTCAAAGGTATGTGTTCTTCTACTTGCTACTCTTATGGTTAAATTGTACCCACTTAAAGCTGCAAGAGGCTGTATCCATTTAAGCTGTCGGGACCTCTCTTCACACCCTTCCCCAGCAGCGTGTTTCCAAACCTGGATCTCAGGTTGGTGGGTAAAAAAAAAAAGATATCTCAAGGTAGCTCTAATTTGTATTTGTTTTATGAAGCTCCCTTAGGCCACTCCTCAGTCAGCCCCTTCTTCGTTTTTCTGGCATGGGATTGGGGTTTGCGCCTCTGCTTCCAGGAGTGTCTTTTGCTGATGCTCCCAGACCCCTCCCTGCGCACATCCTACTCCTTCTCTCTCTTTTTTTGGTTAATTGTCACCTGAGGATATATATATTTTAAAATATGTTCTTATTGATTTTAGAGAAATGAAGGGAGGAGAGAGAGAGAGAGAGAAACATTGATCAGCTTCCTCCTGCACGTGCCTGGACTGGGGGACCGGGGACTGAACCTGCCACCCAAGTACGTGTCCCAGACCAGGATTCAACCCTGGTACCTTTGGTGTGAGGGCCAACACTCTAATCACTGGGCCACACTGGCCAGGGCTCCTGTTCCTTCTCATTGGCCACCCAGTCACCTATTCCTGCTGTGGTCTGGGGTTGAGGTGACTCCCAAAATTCATTAAGAGAATTTTCATTTTTGTTTCCCATACTGTTTTTGGATAATTTCTGGGGTGAAAACAGGGAAAAGATGACCCTTTTGTCCTCAAATTGAAAACCCTAAAACAAGGAGGCAGGTATTATTATGGCCCGTTTTACAGATGTAAACACTGAGACATACACTGGCCGTCCCTGTGAGGAAGGGATCCCACAGCCCTCGTTCCAGCTGTAACTTGGTTATTTTCCTCATGGCCTGAAGGAAATCACTTGTCTCAGGTCTCAGCTTGCTCATCTGTAAAACCAAGACACCGTGACTTTCCAAATGTCTTAGAAGGAGCCCAAAGGTCCTCTGAAGCTGAGGAAGGGCGGGATGGAGGGGAGCAAGAGGTGATGGTGGGGATCTTCCTCCAGAGAGACCTCAGCTTTTTACCGGAACTGACATCATTGACTTATCCCTGAGATTTATTTTGTTAAGAGAGTAATTGATGGGAAACACAAAC